GAGGGTGAAACTGCCTCCGGGCAGGACACAGTTAACATGTCTGGATCCTCTATCCATAACTGTCCCTGAAGTTGCCCAACCAAAACTCTAAGGCCAGCAGGCTCCACTGTGGGAAGGGTTCCCTCCACCCTAGCTACACAGACTGGAACTGCACCGATGGCACGAAAAGGAAGAACAAAAGCTTCTAAAGGCACATGGGTGGGACTGGTAACAATTTATTGTAAATAAGTTATTACATTTGTAAATAAATGTTCACTTTCCTTCATCAGCTGTGTGTGCAAATGTCTGCCTCGCTGTAACTAAAATATTCAAGGTGCAGGGCCAAGCCATCCTTCGCACTACATAATGTTTAATGGGACAAGGTTTGAAATGAGTAGCTCCTGTAGACAGGCAGGCCTGAATGATGAGTGACCAAACGCCTGACTGATATCTGGACATCTCCTTCACTGTCTTTCTGTGACTTGCGGCATGGTGGCACAGCACCAGGAACACAGATTCAATTCCACCTTCAGGAAACTGTCTGTGTGGAGTCTGCATGTTCTCCCCATGTCTGCATTGGTTTCGTCTGGGTGCTGTGGTTTCCTCCTACAGTCCAAAGATGTGCAGGTTAGGTGGATTGGCCATGCTAAATTGCCCATAGTATCCAGGGATATACAAGCTAGGTGGATAAGCCATGAGAAATGCAGGGTTACACGGATAGGGTAGGAGGGTGAGTCTTAGGAGGGTCATGTGGACTTGATGGGCTGAATAGCACGTTACCACACAGTAGGGATTCTATGATTCTATGATGACTGATTGCACTGGACCCACAGAACGGACTATAGCCCACATCCCAGGCTGCAGAGACATAGTGTCCCTTAGCCTGACCATCCTAAGTGGCTACATGACTGTGCCCAAGTTCCTGGACTGATATTGGAGGCTGCCCTTGACTTTCCATGCTAGGATCCCCTGCTTGAAGGATGGCTTCCTTGACTTGAGTGAAGACTACTTCCCATGGGCTTTAAGACATGGCCATCTGTTTGAACCACATGCAGTGTGATTAGCCCATGATTGACTGGTACATAGTGAGACTGATGTAGCCTGGTGTCACACAGAAACACATCTACAACTTGATCAATGATTGCTAACAACCACAACTAGCTCCCTGGCTTTGTGTCTGCGTCAAAAGACATATATTGGGCTCTAGCTGAGGGGTCAAAGAGCAAAGAGGCAAGGCAGAGATGCTGTGAGCATCAAGATAGGCACAAAGTGAATGAGCGCTAAGAGACCAAATAAGGAAGCCCTGAAATGTACCCGAGGTAAAACATGAGCTGGGTGCCCATCCTGCATGTAAACTATCCTGGCAGCAGAGTTTCAATGATGGCTACCAGTGCACTCCCAGGTATGGCATTAAGTGCAGAACCAGACTGTGGGCAGATGGATGCCATGATGTTGCCATTGTCCATAGATAGGGGTTTCATGCAGTTGCTCTCCATAGAGTGCGCTCTGAAATATTTGTAACTGCTGTCCAAGATGGAGACCCAAAGAAGTAAGTGATGAGTTGGAGTTGCTGCATACATGCTCTGCCTATCATCTCAGGAACTCTCAAGATCTAGACTCTATCCCTTGGGCAGGAGAGTCAGAAAATCCATATAAATGAGGTGAGGTTAGGTAGTAATGAAGGTGATAATTAGCGATTATCCTGGAAAATTGGCCTATCACCACTCACTAACAAGAATCTCATTTCATTGTTCATTGCTTAGTTAAAAATAAGATGTTTTGACCTAGGCATTGGGAAGAATCACATTGGACATCTTACCCAATTTTCCCAAATTTCTCACCATGGCCCACACTGTGCAAAGACTGGGAAGTCTTTGCCTATTGTAAATAACTTTTGTAAAATCTGCCTTTTTTATTTCAATACAAATATTTGTATTTCTTTTCCTTGATCTTTTTACCCATCATCTACACTTCTTTGGAAATTCAAATCAGTGCTCTGTCATGGGGGAGCTGAAGTTTCATTCCTGAGACAGGAATGCAGATTTGCAAAATTTTCAACTCCAGAATCCTGATTCAGGAGGAAGTTCCCCAATGTTGTCCTGGTTGTAAAAAAGGTATTAAAAGCAAAACAGCCCTCAAGTTTTCACATAATCCCTTTGACCTATCTATGCTACCTCTTACCACATCACGATCCCTATTCATCTGCAGTCCCCTTTACACCCTCCATGCCATCCTATGACACTCTACCCACCATATGCCCCTCATATCTTCCATGCCAACTGAATGCCAACTAACTTCAACATATGACATAATGCCCTCCACCCTTTGACCTTATATCCTCCCTCACAAATTACCTATTTTCCAACATGCACAGAACTCAGGAACAATTTTGACATGAAATAAGGTAAAGTTCTAAGTGCTTTTTACAGGCTTCACTGTATTTCATCAAAACACTGTCATTGGTAGAACCCACTCAATAAATAAGTTTAATAATAAATAAATTTAAATCCCTTCAAATATTTAATTCCTTATAAAAACAAACATTCCTTTCAAACACTTAATCTCATATTTTAAATAAGACAAATAGTTGTACTCATTGCATTACTTCAAAGACAGATAATCCTTTTCTAAGATAGTAGGAACTGCCGATGCTGGAGAATCTGAGATAACAAGGTGTAGACCTGAATGAACACAGCAGGCCAAGCAGCATCAGAGGAGCAGGAAGGCTAACGTTTCGGGCCTAGACCCTTCATCAGAAATGGGGAGTGGAAGGGGATTCTGAAATAAATAGAGAGAGAGGGGGAGGCGGATGGAAGATGGATAAAGGAGCAGATAGGTGGAGAGGAGACAGACAGGTCAAGGATGCGGAGATGGAGCTAGTAAAGGTGAGTGTAGGTGGGGAGTTAGGATGGGTGTTGGTCAGTCAAGGGAAGACGGACAGGTCAAGGAGGCGGGGATGAGCTAGGCCAGTTTTGGGATGAGGTTGGGGGTGGGGATGGGTTGGGCTGGTTTTGGGATGAAGTTGGGGGTGGGGATGAGTTGGGCTGGTTTTGGGATGAGGTTGGGGGAGAGGAGATTTTGAAGTTTGTGAAGTCCACATTGATACCATTGGGCTGCAGATTCCCAAGCGAAATATGAGGTGCTGTTCCTGCAACCTTCGGATGACATTGTTGCGGCACTGGAGGAGGCCCAGAATAGACATGTCGTCCAAGGAGTGGTAGGGCGGGTTGAAGTGTTTCGCGACTAGGAGGTACAGTCGTTTGTTGCGAACAGTTATGTCAGTTTGTCACCTCAACCCCCACCCCCACCTCCTACCTACCAGCCTCACCCCCGCCTCCTTGACCTGTCCATCTTCCCTTGACTGACCAACACCCATCCTAACTCCCCACCTACACTCACCTTTACTGGCTCCATCCCAGCCTCCTTGACCCGTCCGTCTTTTCTCCCAACTATCTGCTCCTTTATCCACCTTCCATCCACCTCCCCCTCTCTCTCTATTTATTTCAGAATCCCTTTCCCCTCCCCCATTTCTGAAGAAGGGTCCAGACTCGAAACCTTAGCTTTCCTGCTCCTCTGATGCTGCTAATCCTTTTCTAACCTATGTGAGCACCATTTCAAGCTTTGAACTTACAAGCCCCCTGCTGTGATAATGATAGGCTGGGCAAAGAGTCATGCAGCACTAATCCTAGGATGAAAACCTCATGCCTACATCAACCAAAAACTACTGAATTTGAAGCACTTGTTTTTTATCACCAGCAATCTGGCTGTTTATTGCCGAGATGTAAAGGGCGGGGTAACTAAACGACTTGACATCTTGACCTTGTCCATTTTATATGACATTCATGTCTATTCTCAAAATCCCAAAGGACTACCTCCCAAAGAGCTGACTAACCTCTTCCAAACGATACCTTACTGCAGCTAAGAACCTCCTAGAATTCAACCCTTCGTTTAAAGGTCTAAAGCCTGTGGGTCATAACTCAATAAAGTGACAGGTGAAAATCGCTTCTGTTTGAAGGAAACTGCGCTATTATAAGTGCAGAAAACTTCATGAACTGCACATGAGTGAAATACATTCCACACACTTTCCATATCCCAGTCCACAACACCATTTCCATCAAAAATAGTAGATGCTGATTTGAGGATCAGGCTGCAGTGCCATTTTGGCAAAGGTGCAGTGTCCTGCTAGCATTGCAAAGATTCAGGCCCAGATCTAGTCAAGACATGAAACTCTATTATTTATTTATATTTTAACACATTTTGATTTATGCCAATAAAGTAGTATCATCTGAAAGTGTAACCAATCTTTGGAAATAAATCCTTGGCCTCATTCTTTTCCTTGAGTCTCCTTATAGGTAGGAGTCTGTTTGTGTCTCTGACCATGCTGCTCTGCGACTGGGTGATCTGAGAAAGCAGGTTGGATTTGATCAACTTCCTGATTTTCCTGCATTAACCAACCTGTCCAATAGCATACAGAAAGAACGACTGAGTGTGCACTAGTGAGAGTGTTATTGACAGCAGTGTGCATTGAAATTACCTTTCCCACACTCCTTTCAACTGTGATAACTGGGAAGAATGCATTCCACAACTTAACCACCAATGCAGAGAGTTACCTCCCTCTCATCAGTGACCAGGCCAGGCATCTCACCAGCGCTCCACGTCTCTGCAGTTAACATGGAAGAAATTAGCTCTTCAATTTGTAAGGAGCCCTGCAAATACACATGAGAGCACCAACAAGCCATGTGCCAAAGCTACCTTAACAAATTCCATTTTTGGAAATTACATAAAAATAACAAAACATAATTGTCAATCCATCGCCAGCAAAAACAGCCTTGGAAAGATGACCTCTAAGCAACCTGAAGCAAGAATTTAATTTTATTCAGTCCTAGGCAGTAAAAGAGTTAACTATTGCATTCAGATCACTGCGAGTCTTTCACAGGGCAAACCACTTTCTTGATAAAACATTGTTTCAAAGACATGCTTGAGCTTTCCTTCCAAAAAAAATTTATAACATTATGGTTAAATTTGTTTAATAAAGTTTTTATGTGTATCTGCAGTTAAAGTGATCAGATTAATTAAGTTTACATATCTGCATGCAATTTCAGATTGCAAGTCTTTTCTAACTATAGAAAAAACCGATATGCATGGCTCTTGATTTTAATAGAAATATGCAAACGGTATGCAGTCCCAGAAGCCCATATGAAAAATTAAAAAATGGTGGAAAATTGACACGCTTGCCTCCCAAGATCAAATCCCACTTCAATAATTTCTGCAGGATTCTCTCGTCTCTGGTGCAGATAAATTCATGTCAAGGTGCAGCAACACAGATAGCCTGACTCTATGCATAGTAAACGGCTTTCAGAGAGAGGCAATGCCCAGAGCAAGGCCTTATCAGAGCAAGCTGGCTCCCATTTATCTGATCCTTCGTCGAATGCAAAAACAGGTCTTGATCTGCCGTCCGTAGTTTGCAGGGGAAGGCTGGGGGTGGAATGAAGATATAAACAGAAGAAATGAGTCAGGATAGGGGAAAGGGAAATAAATTTGAAAAAATTAGCGGCCACACAAATCAGCAGATGAGTCTGTCACCTAGGCAGCAGAAGGCCCATCTGTTGAACACTATTTGACACCCACCCCCAAAGGCTAACAATAAATCAAGTTTACCAGGCAAAATATGGGCACTGTTTTAGACCCTGCTTTGCATATGGGGACAGAAGCTCACACATTGACAGTGCGGCCAGGTGCAGACAAGCAGATTTAAATCTTTGTGTTTGTTTTTGCTTTACACTGAATCATCTTTCAAACTGATAATTGCTAAAAAAAAACCTCTCTATTAGCTATTTGAGGGCTGAAGAATTTCATTTTATCAAATCGGGGAAAGATTCTTTCAACAAAAGGTATTTTTACAAAAGTAACATTGCAGAGCATGGTGGGAACAAAGCACAGGAACAAAAAAAATGTTCTTCTTACTGTTCATTTGATGAACAAATTGCGGTAGTGGTATATAGAAACTACACACATATACACAACAATGTAGACTACTTCAAGCTGGCTTCCCACCATTTCCAGTGAACAGCAAAACTGGTCCAAGACCCCAAACCCCAGAAAGAAACATTGCACTATATGGACCATTCTTAACCAAACATTGCTTCATTCATCCCCATAAACACCACTCCCAAGCCCCAACTTCCATTAGTCACACCCAAATGAAAATTCAGATCTGATGGAGGGTAGGGTATTTCTCAGTCATTTCATTGACAACTTACTTGCCTTTAGTTCCCCCCCCATTTCTTCTGAAACACCTATCCCTCCTGTTCCATGCCCCTAAACTATCTACATCGACTGCGCTCTCTTTCAGCCACTTTTCTCTTTCCATCCTCTTCTTTCAAGCTATCTGCTGCCTTCCTCCCTCTCTCAACATGTTGTATATATATATAATACAAAAAGAAATATTTTAAAACATTTCACCACCTCAGGGCATCCCACTTTATAGTGAATAACTTATCTTTGAAGCGTAGTCACTGTCGAAATATAGAAAACGTAACAATCAATTTGCACATAGCCAGATTCTATGAACTGCAATGTGACATTGATCAGACAATGTGTGTTTTTGTAATGCTGGATGAGGGATAAATTTTGACAATGACACCAGGAAGAACTCCCCCACTCTTCTTGAAAATAGTACCTGGAGATCTTTGATGCCCGTTGAGTGAGCAGACAGAGTCTCAGGTTAACAATTCACCCAAAAGAGAGCACATCCAACAGTGCAGCTCTCCCTTTGTACTGCACTTGGAGCAGCAGACTGTGTCATGTGTCCAAGCCCCCTAAGTGAGAATGCCACAATTGAACTATAGCTGCTAGCCTTGATCTTAATACTGCACCTCATCTCAACTTGTGTGCAACAACTCGGAGATTGACAAGTACAAAATAGAAATGTTTGTTGTATTTTCTTAGCTATTTTGATTTGCTCACCTCCCATTTGTTTCTACTAAATCCAAACTTTCATTCCTTGTCTGGAAGTGGATTTCCAAATATAAACAAGAAGAATGTACTTTGTACTTTGGTCAGTTCACTAAGAAGAAGCTTACTGAAAGGTACTGAAAAGTGCCTTCCTCTGACAGGTTTTATTCCTCAGTGACAAACCATTTCCAGTGAAAATCTATGCAAAGCAAAGTGGAAGCAGGAATTGAATAAGCACTACCTTACATAGCATTCTTATGCTACAGCTACTGGTGACTTATTTAAATCATTAAATATGGCACATTTTGATAAAAACAACAACAATTTTGCTTTGAATGGAAGATGCCTCAGTGCTGTGCAAAAGCAGAGGGATTTGGTTGTGCATTTTCAGAGAATATTAATGGTAGCACGTCCGGCTGATAAGGCTGTAAAAAAACACAGAATTCTAGTTTCATCACATGAAGTAGAATCCAAGAGTTAATAATGAGGTGCTAAAAAAACTTGCAATACTCTGATTTAAAATATTGCAATTGAAATCACACTACAGGAAGGATATCAAAGCTTCAAAGAAGGTACAATGCAGATTCATGAGGATGCTGCCTGGTATGAGGAAATATAATACAAAGAAAGAATCAAATAATTGTAACTTGTTTGGTCACAGCAATGCAAGTCAAGAAAGTCTTTAGAATTTTGAAAAATGGGACAGAGCAACTAGAAGCAAACTGTTTCAGCATTTGATTGATTTTGAACAAAGGATCATATTTCAAAGATTAAATATTAGAAATTTATAACAAAGAGTAAGGAAACTTCTCTATGCTGTACGTTGTGAAACTATATAATTCATTTCCAGGTTCAGTAGTTGAGGCAGAAACAGTCAACATTCAATAGTAGCCTGGATAGGTAAATGGGGAAAATGTGTTTAAAAGGATCAGGGATATGAGGATGGAGAAGCATGATAATGTATTTGTTTTCAAATTAGAATCAAGCTATCATCTTCCCCTCTCCCTCTCCTAACATGTTTGAACATATATAAGACAACTTTATTTAGAATATTTGTTCATCAATTTTGCTCATGAATGAAAAAGAAAAGGCACATTTCTGTTTTTTGTTCCGGTGCATTGTTCTCACCATGTTCCACAATGGTTCTTTTGCAAAAATACCTTTTGTTAAAAGAATCCTTCCTAGGTTTGAAAAAAGGAAATTCTTCTGCCCTCAGTAAATCTGACATACACTGGTTGGACTGAATGGCTTCTTTCCATGTTATAACTTCTAAGTATGACTATGATAACACATTCCGAAAAAAAATTATGACTAAGTGATGTGTTTATTGTTTTAAGCAGCATGAAAGATTACTGTCGTTCCTTGAGGATTTGCCTTTTTCTTTAACTTAAATACTTTTTTTCATCAAAATCAGATACTTCAACTAATTTATCCCTGGCAACAGCAAATAAGCTGTATGTTTTGAATGACAAATTGAAGATTTAAATTGAAACAGTATTATGAGATCTTCTCGGTATGCTTTGTTTAATTCAGTTCCATTTTCTTGATTCTTAATTCTCCATCGTTCTTACCCACTCTATTGGGTCTACAACTAAGAGGGAGGACAGCCAAGTCATAGTGCTCTGATATAACTTCCATTAACAATATCTTTCCATGTTTTAACCCAAAAAAAATTACCTACTTTGGGCTTTCATTCTGCAGCATCTTAGATGGGAAAACTGTCAAGTGTCACGTACATTTGCTATGATCAATTTACTAGCTATTTGCCATCTTTAAATCAATCTGAACCAAATTCATTTTAATTTCTTTTGCTGGTGAAATAAATTCTGAGCCAATTTGAAGCATTCTGAGTTTGCTGCCCCTGTCCCTTTAAGAAAATGGTTCTGCATGCCCAATTTCATTGGTTCCTGCGCAATAATATTGGGGGGAAATGTTCCACCAGAAGGTTTTCATCCCTTCATGTTTCAATGCTTTGTGTTGTTAACAGCTGGAAGTGCCTGCCAGGCAGATGTTTCTACTTGTGCATTTTAGTTTATTCTTCCAATTTTGCAATGTTGTTTCCAACCAATTTTATCTATTTTCATTATGTTTTTAGGTGGTCTGTTTTGTTTTACTTGGTCCTGTGAATGCTTTCCAGCACTCTTCAGAGAGTACTAATCTACACATAGTGCCACAGTAGAGGTTCAGGCTTTTCGTGTTAACTTTACAGGGTTACACATTGAGATTTGGGGTGGGAGGGGGCTGAATCAGGTTGACACTGGAACCAGTCGATACACAAGTGATCTGCATTTGAATTCCAATTTCAGTCGATGCCATGTTGATCTTTGCAAATAAGTTGCTGTACTATGAAATGAAATGGTTAAACATGCCATCCGTTACGACAGTGTGTTTGAGCTGGATTCATAATCTTTAAGAATATTAATTTGTCTCAGTGCTAAAATATACATTTTTCTTTTGTTTCATTCACTTTGATCTAATGTGTTGAAATATTTGGAACAGATTATACATGCATTTTTTTCTGAAGCAATGTAACTGATAACTGGTTAAAAAGAAATATAAAAGAGTTAATAAATATATGCCATGTAACGTTGCATTATCATTTAAGCTTTGTGAACCTATATAATCCTGAAAAGCTAGGAAAAACAAATATATTGCGGTTCATATAATAAAGGTATATGAGATATGTTGAATATAACGTCAATTTCCAGTACATGATAATAAACAATGTTTTGTGCGAATATGATCTTTCCAAATGTAATCTTATTCAAGATTTGTAACAACCTGGAAGAGAAAATATATGATGGCTGAAGATGTAGGTTAATACATGGAGCTAGTTACATTCATTCAATTCAGTTATAATAAAAATGAATATTACTCCTTTAATATGTAATATAGATCTACTATAGTTTGCTTCGAAACAAAATCCTAATTATACATAGATTAATGTGAGAGAACTTAACTGAAAGGGATCATTGCCTATTTGTCTGAAACCAGTCCATGATGTAAATTGGCAGACAGAGAGGTGAACAGTCAATACAGATTAAAATTATGCTCTCCTTGTACACATTTGGACTTCCATTGATTGAATCACAAAGCCAGAAACCTGTACTTCGCCAAAACAGACATTGGGAGAATGGGAGATGGCATGGGGAGCTGGATCTATGCCATCTCTTGCCTAGGGTAAGATATTGGCACAGCTACAGATGATGTCTTCAGCCAAATGAGCAAAGTACAACTCAAGAGCGAAACCAGTCCTAGGAACTGTGACTAACATAAATTCTGAACAAGGCAGCTTTGCCTCCCAATTTATTTTTGTGTTGCTGCAAGTACAATATTTACTGAAATATTCTTCTGAATACATATTACACCGACACGAGTGCAGAATCTTATCTAAGCAAAATAGAAGTGACAACTTCAGTCAGACTGTTTTGTCTTATCCTTCATTCATTTATTTTTATGTTAATAGCTTTTCTTTTGCATCAATCAGTTTCCAACTCCAACAGATCGTATGTCAGGCTCTGCCTAGTTTAACTACATTAGAAAAAAATGGAAAATATACTGAATAATAGATCGGATTTTTAGCAGATGAGCCTTTACGTTTAATCTTTGCACGTCTCGCCCCAGTCTGTGCTTTATCATGTCTTTACAGCCAACAGCTTGTTTATGAATAAAAAATGTGGCATGAAACCAAAGAGTGAGTTGTCTTTGTTTTGTCAAGTGTACCGAGACAAAATGCTTGCTCTCACAAGTCTTCACTTCTTACAAGCCTTCTGGGACCCCAGGGGCAGCTGGACCAATGTTACCTGCAGAACGGTTGCTATGGCAAGCATGCTTTACCCCATGACAAGTTAGGAATATTCATGAGCTGAAACTCTGCCGAATCATCTGCATATCTGAGTGTTCTGAGTTCTAATATGCAAATCGACTGCTTTGACAGGCAGCCACTTTATTAACTCATTAAGCCCATCTTGTCCCTTTAAAGACAGCATAATTACAAATAAAGCCGTCACTCATTGTATACAAATGCTGCTGAGGTCGTGCTAAGGACCAAAGTGACCTGCTATCAGAGCCCAGTCGGTCAGGGGAAGGCAATGAGGAACAGTCCAAGGTTTGGCACGGTGCATGATAGGGAAATGCTAGATAAGGCATTGAAATGGTCAGGTTGTACTGCTGTGCCTGACAGACATCTTACACCACATTTCATACCTACTACACTCATGCTGTTTTGACCTTCTATAATCCAGCATCCTTGACAATCTGACACAAGTTTTAGCATACATTTTGTTATTTACTGGGCATGCTATACCTTATTAATCCAGAAGCCTTGTTTAATCATCGGGTTCACTTAATAGGCTGGTCTGGCACCCTGTGATAAAGCAGTTACTTTCAAGCTGACTGATTTCGTTCATTGTTTATAGTGTTTCCTTCTCCCCAAGCTCCTTATTCAGAGATTGGCTTGTGGGATTCTGTCAAACAGCATGATTATTTCTGTTGAAAACAAGAACAATTATCAAAAATACTGTGGGAAGAGGGGAGTAACTTACATATGAGCTTTATTTATCCTTATTTCCTATTATTTTCTTCTTTTGTTTTGTGCCTGCTCATCTCTCTGCTGTCCTCCAGATGCAAGAACTGGCAAGAACTGTGAATGCCTGTATCTTCTAATATCAGTAGGTGAACTGACAAAAGATTGTTTTCTTTGTAAAGATGCTTAAAAAGAACACCACACCAATGTCTCAACTGAGAACTAACAAAACATCTCATGCCTAGGCATCAGGTATGCACCAATTCTGCACTAGGATTCTGATTCCAGTAAGACCTTGAAATAAATGCAGTATCAGCCCTAACAATTGTGATCTCAAGCCAATATTTCAGTTCTTAGGGGACAGCCTAACAATACTCTCTTAGAGTCCATGGCTGGGATTTTACATTGGCCAGGGATACACCCTGCTTCCTCCCTAAGTGTTAGGGAAGAGCCCATCCCCTAGTTGGTCTGATTGCCCTGCAGCCATTAAACCAACAGGGGACCACTCAGTGATTTCAGGTGAGACCGCTGTGCCTCAACAGCCAGTATAAGGCTGGCTGCGTTCTGGTCCCTGTGGTGCCACTGTCCCCAGCAGCAATCATTACCAAGGCAGGTACAGGCATATGACCAAGGCCAGGCTGGCACCTTACACATCTCACCCCCATGGTGGGCAAAGGGCGTGGTGAGCCCTGATTGAAAAATGTTAGAGGGAAACATAGTGCAAGGGATAACCTTAAAGTGAGTTACCTCCAATGGTCCCAGGGGGCTATAAAGAAGATTCCACAACACACCCCTCCAAACCTTTCTCTCCAAACCTGAACAGTTTAAGCTGCTTGGCTTCATACTTCGCATGGCCTCTGCCCATGTCAGGCAAGACAAGATGCATCTCTTAAGCAGTTAAGTGATCAATTAATGAACAAATAAGGCCCTTAACTGACCCTTGGGGACATGGGATGTCAGAGGTACCCCCCACCACATGTAAGTTTGCAGTGAGGGACAGATTGATAAATAGGCACCAAGAACAGTGCCCATAGAATTACACCCAATTTTACAACAACCCTGCCTGCCAACCTGTACCTGGGATGTACAGAATTCAACCCCTGCACACAGTGAGATGTTGGTGTGAATATTTGTACAATCAACACCGCATGTTTCTTCTTTAAGTTTTCACTTCCTCTTCCAATGCATATCTTTTAATGTACATATGAACATATATGCATTATTCATTGTTTGAACATAGTCAGGGAAGTATCACTCTAGCCTATGCACATGTTTATGACATTTCCAAAAACAGACTATCAAGTTCTGATTTTAATACATTTGACCTGTCACAGACTAAAATAATTTTTAACAAAACAAAACACAGGCTTAAAATGGCCGCAGTGATCACCTGATCAGGTTGAATCAAGCTCGTGAAACTACCAATAAACAGGAGCCAGTCTGAACTAAGACTAACATAGTCAAAATGGCTGGAACCAGTCATTCCGATTTGTATCTTCTGTTTGATTTACACTCTTCTGGAAGTTTCACATATTGGGATGAAAATCTTACCAATAGATTATCCAGCTTGATTTAAAAAAATGAAGTCAGAAATGGGAGTATACAAATGAGTTGTATTTCAGGCAACTGCAGAAAGAGGAAAAATTAATTTCCAGCAACTGAACAGGAAGACTCCCTATCTCTTTTTCTCTTAGCCTGTTAAAAAAACAGCACCCATTGATAAAGCAAATTGGAGAAAATCCATTCACTGGAAACTCAAAGACATCTACAGATTTCTTTACAGCTGAGGAATCAAATCATCAATTCAACATCCATTATCACAGGTTAAACCTAACATCTCAAGCACTCACCTGCATACTCTTAACCTTCCTTTCATACTAGACACTCACTCCTTTTTAAACTTTATACTTGCATTCATGTGTGTATTTGATGTTGTGTTTGATTATTTTTATTGGGGTTAATAAGTAGTAAAATTTCCGTTTCCTTCATTCAAGAATTTTAATTGAAGTGTGTAACAGCTGCATGCTAAAAAGAATTATAAATATTTGTTGAGACCAACAAAGTGGTCTAGTATGCTAACATGGTTTACATCTCATCATTTGTATTGCATCAAAGTCCTACTTCACCAAGAGATATTATTACAAAACAAAATAGAGAAATGACCAGTGAGTTTTAAAATGGACTTACAGATTTGCATCTGTGTTGCAAAATGTATGTCAATAAGTTCATGACTTCAACAGTGTCACTGGAGTTGTTTTAAATCAGAAGCAGTGTGATCTCTCAGGGAGGCATGGGGAGAAAGTCAGTCAACAAAACCCCTAGTTCAATTTCATAGAGTTCTTTAACAATTGTCTCAAGAAATGCTCTAGCAAATGCTTTTAAGCAGATCATCGCTCCACTCTATCAACTGGGTGTGGAGAAGGAGATAAACACCACCATCTTAAGAAGGGTGATGAACTGTTTTATTTTTCATGTGATGGGCAAAGCATAGCCTGAATGTTTCACAGACTTTGCAAGATCTGATTACAGTGTCCTTATGTAATGTTTGAGTTTCATTCCCAAAAGTTACAACTTTAAGTGAAAGACATAAAGTAAAACAGTGTTTCCTACAGGAATCAATGTAAAAGCCAGAGTTAGGTTCCTGAGGACAAATGTTTCACAGATGAGCCAATGTAAAATTTGAAATACTGTGCCACACATGTGCCACACAACGCATTCCTAGCTAAAGTAACTTTTGAAACAAAACAAGGAAAGCTTCTGTGAAGCAAGCTTATTGCTTGCAGAGAAATCTTTAAAAATGTTTACAGTATAGGTACAGTACAAGTTCTTCACTATTCTAACTCTGCAGGTAAAGTATTTTTGAGTACATTATGGCAGGAAATTTGTTTTAAAAAATCTCAGTCATTGAGTCATACAACACAAAAACAGGCCCTTTGGTCCAATTAGTCCATGCCGAACATAATCCCAAACTAAACTAGTCCCACCTGCCTGCTCCTGGCCCATATCCCTCGAAACCTTTCCAACAACTGCCATTAACTCTATCTATTCTTCTCATTATTTTATAAACTTCTATCAGGTCATCTCTCAACCTTCTATGCTCCAATGAAAAAAGTCCCAACCTATCCAGCCTTTCCTTATAACTCAACCTTCCATACCCAGCAACGTCCTGGTAAATCTCTTCTGAACCCTCTCCAGATTAATAATATCCTTCCTATAACTGAGCGACCAGAACTGGACATCGTACTCCAGAACAGTCCTCACCAATGTCCTGTACAATCTCAACATGACTTCCCAACTCCTATACTCAAAGCACTGAGCAATGAAGGTAAGCATGCTAAACACCTTTTTAACCACCCTGTCTATATGTGACGCAAACTTCAAACCACAGCAGTTACTCTACCAGTACAGGTACAAACACCAAGGAAATTTTTAAAACACAATTAAAAAATTAAGTTTATTCTGAGCGGAGGACTGTTTGAAACAAAAATGATATTTGAATGCAGGGAGCAGACACAATAGCAGCAACTCCAGCAACGCAGTCAGGGGTCTTACTGAGATGTGATGACATGAGAGGCTCACTAATAACAAACACAACCAAGAAGTGAGAGATGGTAAAGCAAGAAATGACACTTTAAATGAGGAAAGTAAATACTTAAAAAGAACTTTAATCAGAAAAAAGTTTTGAAAGAGGAGACTGAAAATGAGAACTCCTTGTATTTTATAATGTATTAGTTGAATCTATACTATAAGATTCCTTCTCCAAATATTTGTACTTATATTAGAATGAAATACAGGATGTACAGCAATTAAAATCTGTCAGGTATGCACATATTTTAGTTTTTTCATTAGGTCTGTCGTATCAGCTTTATTTCTGTTGCTGTCCATGTATGTGTTTCAGGGGCTAGTTAATAGGTACAAAGAATATTCTTCAGTTAATCCTCCACTTCTTAATAAAGCATTGAATGAGGTACTTCCTGTGGAAAACCCACTGGTGCCTGCAATTCTACTGGAAGCAGAAAGAAAAAATTCTACCAAATGCCTCAAAAACAAACAAATGTAAGTAGCAACAGAATAAAAATGAAGCCAAATATGACAAAAGAAGCTGTAAAACTGTTGGGTGAATCTACAAATGCTTTGAATTGGGATATGTGGAACCATGTTGACAGCAGAATTGAACTCATTGGCTTCCTGATAGAATAGTTAATATAGCTTACATAACAAGTTCTAAAAGCAGTTTATTGTGTCCATGGCACACTCTGGTCTTGCAAATCATTTCACAATTGAATTTCTTGCAAGAAAATTGTGCACTTTAATATATTTTAATGCTTTTGCCATAATTGGTTTATAACTACAAATATTAGTATAACTACAACTTGAATCGAAAAATGCTTTCAATGCATTTCAAGGATGGTTTAATTTGAATACTATATGTTTTCTGCTTGATAAAGACTAGCATCCTTTGGTTTTCCTTTGGTATCCTAAAAACTATCTATTAAAGTGATATTTGTGGCTGTTGTCTAGCTAACAAATTCATGGAATATGAACTTGATAGTGATATGCCTAAAAACTGGCACTTACAGCATACCTGAAATAAAGCCACTTTGACTCTAAATAGTCAGTTAATCCTTAGAAATGCCAAACTTTTTGTTCAGTCAAGTGTGAGATGCATGGAGGATAAGCAAGCTTTTCCATTATGCATGGCCACTTAATTTGCAATCCACCATTCACAGTATGAGTGTCCTTGCTGATAGAGTGCACCATAGATGTTATGGTTAGTTTTCTCAGGTCTAAAGCAGCCAAATCAGTGGTCCTTAAACAATGTTTATGGAACTGAATGTTGAGCCGGGAGGAACAGTGTGTTTGTTCTAGCTTCCGATTGAAGCTGTGGCTTTCTGTCAGCCATTGGTCATCGACCCTCACCCTCTCCCCACTCTAAATTCATCCACCTCGATATTTTATAGAT